ACAGAATCAGAAAATAGAAGATAACATACTTTGCCGACAGCTGACTGCACATCAAAGCAGGAGCTCAGCTAACACCTGCCTTTGCAATAGGGGAAAATTCCTCATCTGCAATGTCCTTCATAGAGCAGTCTGATAGCTGGTTTGGTTTGATGTTAGCAGCTACTGTGAGAGACCAGCCATACACCCAGACACCTTACACAATATTGTGGGGTATAGGTTTGGAAGCAGCTTGCCAGCTGATGTTTCTCAGTGCCTCCAGAATGAAAAGGATATCAAGAACTCAGCTGGGACTGTCTCCTAGTCCGAATGATTTTGGGATACTCCCATTTACTCTAGGAATTATCTGTGACAAGACCAGGTTTCAAGGTACTAGTGCTAGAGGCTGTGCTGTCAGTTCCTTATCAGCATGTGCTAAATCATGTTCTCTTTAAAGGTATGTATTTCAAGAGAGATGGGGACAGGAACACCTGAAGCAGGAAAAACCGGGAAGCCTAAGGAAGGGGTTTCACTTTAATTGCACTATCTTTTTGCAAGGTATTTTTAACATCTGAGCCACCTCCAGGCTCATTTTGCTTCAGCTGCAGACACTGTGACATGGTTAAAGAAAAGAAAAAAAGGAGGGAAAAGAAAGAAAAAAGGAGGAAAAAGACCTCAAACCATGGTCTGAATTACATTGGTTTGTCCTGGCTGTGGTACTCATTAGCCTGGATGGAGTTTAGGTGGCTGGGGGCTGTGTCCTGGCATGTCTGGCAAGGGGGTTTCAGCAGGATGGGACTTCAGCAAGCCTGATTGCCTGTGCCATGTTCACCAAAAAACCCTGAGGAGGGGTTCTGGGCTGTAGATGTCCGGGCATGGGGGTCTGGACTGGGGCAGCTGGGGGTCAGTTTTGGTCTGGGAGCATGAGATGAGGTTTTGTAGCAGTTTGGAGAGGGAGGGGGAAGAGGGGAGAAGAATCATGACAGGTTTATCACAGCCTGAAATAGATTAACCTCTGGGAGGAATGATTTTGTAATAATTTGCATTTAGATATTCTGACACATCCAAATAACCCCAAACCTTCTGCAAACATTGTAATGAATTCAATCTCCAACGTCCTGTGAGAGAGATAGAAATAGCACTAGTTACATGGTTAAAGGAGCCAAGGACTCTTCTCTCAGTACTGCATTCTGATATTTTCTTGTCATCATCCTCCTGCCTATTCCTTTCCACTTCAGGGCAGTTAATCATAAATGAGATATTTGTTCAATGCTGTTCTCATGTATTCTCTGCCCTGTCTCTGTTCCAAGAGGCCATGAAGGCAGTGGGTTACATCCCACCCCGACTTTGGCAGCCTTTGCAGGAAAGCTGGGTCTTCCAGGAAGACCCAGATTGTGCCGCACATTTTGGGTGCCAAAGGCTTGGGCAAGCATATTGTTTTCTGAAGGGAAGCGGAGCATCCCAAAGTGTATCTGCTCTTCCAAACGTATCTCAAATCCAGAGTGCTTAAGGCAGCAGGAGCTGGTATTGGCTGAGCTAGCAAATGCACCCCCTGGGCACCCCTGTGCCCTGCTGCAGGACCTGCTTAGATGAGGGGCTGCAGGACAAGGTCTGGCAGAGGTAGCTGCATTTCAGTGACAGACTCATATGGGTCTGACCCAGAGTTGGCCTGAATCACTGGGACTGTATCCGTTATCTCCAAGCCCTCTGCTTTTTGCAGGTTTGACCTCTGCTGTTCTCACTTGCTTTCTATAAAGCTCTTCCCAAGGCTGGGAGTATGGGCTCTGGAGCAAGCAGTTAGCAACGTGCCAGCTGTATATAAGGGGTATCTTGTCTGATGCAGCAGCGGAGAGGAGAGCACACACTGCACCTTGCAGATTTACTCCTCATAAAACACCTCTAGCTCTCCACAGATATCTGCAGATAATCTGCCAAGTGAACCCAGGGATATTTATGGTGCAGCTTCGGCAATGGCATAACAGGAAGTCAGCAAACAAATGAACTTTGAAATGGAAGGAGAGCAAAAATACAGGCTGGAGTGTGTTTATTTTGGAGTCAATAGGAAAGGTTAAACCATAATGGTGACTGTTTCCAGGTTGGGTCAGGTTAGATAGCAGAGCAAGCAAAGCATTTTCATAGTGCTGTGAGACTGTTTGGTGTGTGCTGAGTTTAAATTACAAAGACAAATGAAGACAAAGACAAAAACCTTGCTTCCCACCGAGATAAAATGCTGTATTGCTGAGTACCATACAGATGCTTGCAGAAAGCTAAGACAAATGTTGCTTCAGAAGGAATTATACCAGCTCTGAGTTCAAGCATTAGAAAAATTCCACATTCGAGTCACAAGGTGTATAAATGTAGGCAATTTTAGCTATGGATGTGACTTTTTCCCTTGCTCTCTGTCTGTTTCCCCCTCTGTCTCTTTGCCTGCTCTGTTTGGCAGTGCCAGCTGGCGGGAGGTTACTTGAAGCTCTGCTGGCACAGTGAGGTGTTGGACTCGGGCCATCCTGCTGGAACACGCTCCCTGTTTTGCCCAGCACGGCAACGGGGAGGGTTTGTCTGGTCATGTCACATTGTAATTAGCACGCCTCACACTTCTGCTGCTCCTCGTTGTTCATCTGGGAGCTCAGGCACAGGACAGGACTCTTCCTCCCGTCCACCTTCCTCCTGCAGGCAGGCCCTGCTTGTCCCCAGAGGCAATGGCCACACTTTCCCCCTTCTTTTGTTTCTAACAGGGATCCCCTCTGGTCAGCAGCTCAATGGACATGTGGTGTCTCCTTGCTGCAGCCGCCATGTTTGCTCGGCCTGGTTTGAGGCCCTGAGGAGGCTATTGCGCAGCCAGGCTCTGCTGACGGTCAGCTCCCTGAGGAGCTGGTTCCCAGTGCTTTACCTTGGTTTACCACAGTAGGGCATTTGTGAAGGGCTGTTTGGGGCTTGAACCTGCAAGCCCTGGTGGGTTGTGCTGAAGAGAGGAGTGGCAGGAGCGCTTTTGGGTGCTATTGAGTGCAAAGCTTACAGCACCAGGGCCCCATCTGCGCAACTTGTTAGCCAGCAGTGGTAAAGGCAGTCTTAGGGAACCATTGGGACCCTCTGGGATCCACCTCCTTGTTTATAGGCCTTCCAGAGAGGCCAGGTGCTGAAAAGGCCTTGCTTTGTCCTGAGAGCACCAAGGGCAGTGTGGAAGGGTGTGTAGCGCAGGAAAACAACTGTCAGCACAACTTTGTTCCTCATCAGAAGCCCTGTGGCAGCAGTAATCGGGCAGAAGGGGCTGGGCAAGAAGAAGGTTTGCAATTTGCTGTGACACGAAACAAAGCTGTGTCTTGTCAGAAGATTGCAGCTCCCTTTCTCTGCCTGTCCGTCACACGTCAGCTGTCCTCACGGTGCAACATTACAGAAATGAGCTGTTGCAATAATCCAGTTTATGAAGAAAGGAAAGGCTTAGCCAAGCACTGTAACTTAAATTACATTTGGTATGGCGAGCATTGAGCTCTGTATGGTGTTTGTTTGACTCTTAGTTTCTATACTGAAGCGAGTTGCTGCTTTTCCTGTTGCTTTGATGTACTCACGGAGACTTTGATGGGGGGTGCCCTAATGGAAACAGGAGCCCACAGGATGCAGCATCTTGCTTGATCTCCTTTGCACCAGGAGCATGGCACAGGCCTGACGGTGGGAGTTCCTCTCCTACAAAAGCTGGTGAGCAGCAATTCCCGTCACATAGGCAGGAGGCTTTTCTATCAGTGCAGGTGCACATGGTAACCTGTTTTCCAAGGGTAGGCTCACCCCAGCACCCTGCAGAGGCTGCTTCAGAGCACTCCGTGAGCAGGGACCCAAGGGCCAGCAAAATGCAAACTCATCCTGAATGGCTTATGCCTAAAATACACTGGAGGACTGCACAGGTTCAGGATTTGAAGCTGTTGAGACACACACAAAACGTGATTTTAAATGTATGTTTCAGCTCAGCTGTGATGCAGAGATAGCAGTCCTGTCTTACACTATTTGGTTGTAATCCCAACTGAAGTATGTTAAGCATGGTGACTTCTTCATAATTTATCTCAGTGCATACTTGGAACAAGGAGGGGTTTTATTCTTTAAAAAGAAAAAAAAAATCACCTTTATTTTATTTTATATTTTATTTTATTCAAATGAATTCTTTCTGCTGGGTAAGGAGAAACACGGGGTGTGTTTGCAGGTGGATATATCTTCCTTTGTAAGGATTCATGCGAACTTAGGCAATTATTTTTTAACTATTGCTGACTCTGCCTATGCAAGCACTTGCTTCTCCACAGTAAAGAGGTTGCAGAGGGCAGGAAGAGCTCCCATACTGAGGAATTTTTCAATTGGACTGTCCAGTCCTCTTGCCTTTCCTGTCCTTCCCTGTAGCAAAGCATATATTCAATCAGAGCTTGTCAAGGCAACCTTTTTTTGGGTGATTTTATCTCTTTTGGGGAGATAAGTTTTTCATAGAAAATGTCAAAACATGGAAGGGAGTTAGCTACCCAAATTCCATCTGTCTTTGAGCACATCTGTCTTTTGAAAACATCTCACAAGTCTCACCTCTCTGGTTATGGGAATGCCTTCTCAGGGTAGGTTGGAGGGGGTAGTTTGATATGGGGCACGTTGGAGTTGGGGTAACTTTTTGACAAAGTAGATTCAAACAGTTGTTCTGATATGCCTGTTAAGTCTAATGAGGACTACCAATATGTCATTTAATCAGACCTCCATGTCTTCTGGGATTCTAGGCAGAGCCGAATTCTAGGGCAGACTTGGAGCAGGAGACACTTGTATTTCCCTTCTTGCCCCACGTTTTAATTTTATGTCCTTCACTCATCCTTCCCTTCATAGTCTGGAGTGAGAAAATTTGTACCTGCCTTCATACCAACCGCTATGCTAATGCAACATAACTCAAATTAGGGGGTAAACGCACAAAGCCTGATGTAGGTCCAGGTTACTGGGGAGCTGGCGTATTTTTATGCTATGTTCCTTTTCCAGACCTGGCCATTCAACTACATTTTCTGTCATTTCAGGGGAGCACCTGCGAATCTGCCCACAAGGCTATACCTGCTGCACCAGTGAGATGGAAGAGAACTTTGCAAACAAAAGCCGAAGTGAATTTGAAGCCATGATGAAAGAGGCTGGTCGCTCTGTGCAAATGACCCTGACAGCACAGCACAGAAGCTTTGACAGTAAGTAAAACCTACTCGGTTCCTCCCTGCTAAGGATCCAGACACTTGCTTAACTTTCCAAGCACTGTTTGAGTCAGGAATTTGTCTTTGACACTCCTTCCTCTGCATCTTGCTCAAAAGTTTGTGTCATGTGTTGACCTTCAGTAGGAATTGTACCTCTGGCAGTGTTTTGCAAGACCCAGTCATTTTGAGAACTGTTTCAGTGGTTTCAGTGAAGCCACTGAATGAGGCTGGCAGGCTCTCGTACCAACAAGTTGTGTATCTTGGCACTGACATAGCTTTTACAAGCGTGTTGTAATCGAGTCTTACCACAGCAGCATAACATTTGAGGTAGTGATGTAAAATTTGGCACTATGCCTTGAGCTGTAAGTTGAACAATATGGTAGAGGTGACTGGATAGCCTACAGTAGATGGGGAGGGTTTAAGGAGGCATGGATTTTTCTTGTCCTTTCCATATAGATTGCAAATGAAAAGGTTAGTTCACATTAGAGGCTTATAATTTTCAGCTTCATACATACATCAGGAATGTTGTACAGCAGTGAAGGTCTTAGAGACTGTGATACGTAAGATGTTGGGGACATATTCTCCAAAGTATCCCTTCTAACATGCTAAGCAAAGGCTAAGGATGGCTCTCTTGCTTTTATTGTTCCCTAAAGAATCCAATCTGCAGTGCACAGTAAGCCTCAAGGTCTGAAGGCCACTGGAAATAAATGGTTTATTGGCAAAATTGAGATGACCTATGATTCAGAAACTGTATCCATTATCAGATTTTAAAGAAGGTCAGACATTTAGAATCACAGTCCTCCTAACTTTATCAACAGTCATCATTTGGAGTTACTGTGAAAAGGAGTTGAAGAAAGAAGCTATAATAGCTGTAAAGGTGGAACTGAAAATTTCAAGCAGTAGATAATAGATCTAAAGAAATAAGCCTGACCTTCAGGGGCCTGACAATCAAGATTAAGTGCTTTTATACTAAAGGAAAAGAAAAGGTAGTGCATCTCTGCAAAATGCATTGTAACTGTGTGGCCACGGTTGACCACAGCAAAGGCATTCCATTAAAAGCTCAAAATTAATTGATTTTCATCTGCCTTCAAAAGTGATAACCAGGATTTTCAAAAGAGGCTTACAATGCTGGTTGCTCGGACTGATGTCTGAATGGGACCTGGTGTAGCTGTTGCTGAGCACACTCACTGACCTCTGAAATCCAGCCCTTCACAGGGTTAATGCAGAACCTCCACCAGCCTTGGCACCCTCTCCCTCCACTGCTTATTGCAGCATTGGCTGGTATATCTGCTCTTTATTTTTAAAAGAACATAGTTGTACAGCTATCAGTGTTAAGAGTGTAAAAGTTATTGGCAGCTTTGAGGATTATATGCATGAGCAGAAATTACCTAGTGAAGAACTGGCTTAACATTTGAGAAGAATATAAGAACCAGTAAGACATTACATCACCGAATGATGTTTTGGTGCATTAGTAATAGTAACAGCAATAAGAATAGTCATAAGCAAAGCCAAGTATATGAAAGGGGGGATACCTGTGCTGAGATGTCAGTTAGAGCTGTAAGGACTTTCCTTTGTTTTTGTTCCCCAGCATTTTACAAGAATAGAGCTTTATTTCTGTGATGCATACCCAATTTTCTTTTAAGCATCAAACAAAGAAATTGTTCAATAACCTAGGTCTTCCTTTAACAGACCATAATGCACAGATCATTGGTGTTTTGTAGTGGAAGTAACCTCACTTGAGCCCACAAGGCCAGGAAGTTGTCTCCTCCTCCCATTATACCTTTTTAGTTTGCTTAACTACACTTACAATCAATATAGAGTATATAATCCATGCAAGACATGATTTAAAAAACAAAATCATATTGTGTGTGAGTTTCAAGCATGGCTTTATGGGCAGCATTACTGTTTTTTCCTTTAGCTACTGCACAGATGGTTTAAAATTGAGGGAAGGGACTTCTGGTGATGGGGCAATGGAATCACCTCAGCTTCTGAAACAATGCCGTAGAAACTGCCTTATCTTCCAGTTAATGCAATGAATCTCAGAGTAAGGAAGACTTTTTGCAGGTAGTGCTGTTGAGAGCTGTTTGATAAGAGTATTTTAATGTGGGATTGATGAGGTCTAATCTTTCTGGCATCGGATGCCTGGTTTTGCTGAATTTCCTTAGCAGCAGGTTAGAGTGCTAGGTTTGGGGTTGCAGAGGTATCAATGCACAGCTTGTCTTCATGATAGAAATTTTTGGCCTCAGGAGTGGGGGGAGTCTCCACTGCATGGGAATGTCCAACCCTTTCTTGTAGTACTTTCAGCCTGGAGATCAGCTTATGCGTATATTCTCTGGTAACAGGTGTGGCACATCGAACTTTAGGCCTGGAACTGTCTTGTTTAGATTCATCACAGCAAATCTTGCTTCTGTAATCTCACTGCTGATCACAGGCAATAGTCTCTACTTGTAAATTGCCCTGAAGCTGCAGCTAGAAAATAGCAAGACCACAGCAATCTGCCTCCGAAGTAATACTCTTCATGCCAGTGTTCAACGTTTTGCTTTGGAGAACAATTCATCCTTGCAGGTTGTGGTGTGTAGAGCCCTAAATTGTCAGAGTGCCTCTGCTCTGAGCTACAGCTTGGTCCCATTGCAAGGAATTATCTGTTATTTCAGTCTCAGTGGTTGCATTTGGGGCAAACACTTTGTGGCCATGGGCAGAGTGTCCTTTATCTCATACAAAGTATTTTTAGAGAAAATATGCAGATGAAATATGATAGGGAGAGAGAGCAAGAGCAAGTGGTGCTTCGAGTGACAGTGAGGGGGTGCAAGCAGCAAGGAACAAGGCTGACTTTCTAGTCTTGATGAAAGCTCACTTGCTCAGAGTCTAATCCTTGTCTCTTGTCCCCTTTTGTCTCCACTTAAATCACTTGTTAATAATACTGCAATGCTGTGCCAATCTTTCCTTCCCAATCGTTTTGGTACACTTAGCGATCGCTCTCTGTGTCACTGCTGACCTTTAGCTGTGAGCCAGCAAATCTGTCCTTTCAGAATTGTTTCATGTTTTCAGGAAATATCAACAAGCCAAACCCATAATCTTGGCTTTTATTCCACCCTGCACAGTCTAAAAAGCAATTTGTAGCTCGCATAAATTCTGGGATTTTTAAGCTGTGGCAATCAAAAGCGGATTAAAAATTATGTATTTTGTAGGTGGCTGCTCATTGGAAAGCTGATGTCATGTGAAAGCTTTCATAATGTCCAATGTTGGTAGCTGGAAATGGCATATGCTGAAACACAGACTGTGCAGATAATTAACAGTATTTGAGAGTTAGGCAGTTACATATTTCTTGTGGAGATGAATCATACTTCTAAATGTTACAAGGTGGGGAACATCCTAGAAGCTGTTACACACTGATGGTTAAAAGTTTAGAGATTTATAAAGGCTCCTTGTTTAAAATTCAACCAAATGTGTCTCTGACAGAGGAACTGACTGATTCAGTATGTACGGTTTCAGCCCCTAGAAGGACTATTTGGGGAGAGAGGCATATATATTTACATATGGTAAATATATGTATGTATAGTACATATTTACATATAGTGTGGATGCTTAAGGCAACTGAGTAAGCCCAACAGGAAGAGCTGTGTCCTACCCTACTGACTTTAAACCCAGACTACAAAATCCAGAGGTGAATCCAAATTTTGCAGGTATTTTCTCAGTTGATGATAACACGAACCAAGCCCCACATTTTAAAGTATCTGAATTTGGTGGCCCAGATTTGGCCCAAAAGGTGTGTTCTGAAAGATGTGGGACTACTCTGTGCAGAAAATGACTGGCACAAGACCAAAGCGGTGATTATGTGAGCCACGGGGACTGCAGTGCCTGTGTCCCAAACTTGTTGCCTCAACACAGCTGCTCCACACTTGCCGTGTCCTGCTGCCACTGCTCAGATGTGAGTGTTCCATGGAGGCACCGTGGGGTTTGGCCTTGGTGAAGTGCTGTCTAAAAGTTAGTGTTTATGTAGAAACGTGAAAGAAATCTTCTAGGGGCTGGCTGTAGCTCAGAATATGGAATTGCTGCTGTGTTTTGAAATCAGTTCCTTTGTTTCAAAGGTTGTAGAACAGAGCACTTTGGAGTCAGTGGTGTCCCTCTGGCAGTGACAGTGTACTTGATAAGCTTGCTGCCTCCCACTGCTCCTGGCATCAGCACTGGCTGCTCCCTAGGGCCTGGCATTCAAATTTGGACTTCGAATGTATTGCTTTTGATCCAGAAACCCATCATTAGCTGAGAACACTCTTTTCTTGTGGTAACTCCCCTCACTGGGGCTCTGCCCCTGAAATTGTGGTGTGTGGCCTCAGCTGGTGGCTTTGGCCATGGGCTCAGCTCTGTGCGAGAGCGCTGACCTCTGGGGCATCCTCAGGCATGGTGGGAACACTGGGGGTGACTTGATGGTTCACCTCATATTTTGTGCCTCATTAATTGTTTTGTGCCCTTTCCTGCATTGTCTTGGGCGGCATCATTCAGAAGCAGCCCAGTTGTCCCCTAGCTTCACCTTTGTGGTGCATTACTAAAAGTACTTGTAAGAGGGGCTATCAAAGGTGATTTCTGCGGCTCCTCTCTACTTCTCTCCCGTAGGGTTGGTTTTGGGACAAGATAGAAAGAGAGAGAACATCCTTTAACAGGGAAATCAAAAAGCAGGCTCCCAGGCAGACACAGGACAGAGCAACAAATAATGGGGTTCCCTTGGAGGCCTCCTCAGAAGGAAGGCAGCAAGCATCCATACTTACCTCCTTCCTACCGCCCTCCCCCCGCCAAAGGAACCACCTTAAGAAAAGCCCTGCACAAAGCAGGATTGATGCTCATTGGGCTGTCACTCCCCCTGCAGAAAGAAGATGCTTTCATGTGTGGTGCTGAGCATCTCATTTGGTATTTATGGTTTCCTGGAATGGGGTGCGGCATCTACTGAGGCACATTCCTGGGCTAGGCAAGATTAATCCTGACAGGTAGCTGCCTCAGGGAAG